GTATGTATTAAATAAAGGTAAGTGTCAAGAGGCTTAGGGCATGATCTTCTTAAACAATAATCTTATAAAATTTTGTAACTACCACTGGAAAAAATATATAGCAATCACCTAACTTTCAAGTAATGAGAATTTCCAAATATCATATGTGTTAGTTTTCCATTTAGAAATAATTTTTATGTGTTGGAATCTCAGGTCATCCAAGGTTGCATTAGTACTGTGCTAATAACACTATAAGCCAACATATACAAATAAATACCTTAGAGAAAGTACATTCTAAGTTGTTTTTTGTACTCTGAAGACCTATTTTCAGGCTGCAGTGTGAAGGGGGCCACTTCTACCTTTCACTCCAGTCATGAGCTTTGAGTATCAGGGAGTGCCTCTTTTGTCTAGGACCAATGACTCCTTCAGGCAAAAGACTAGTTAGAAGGGTAAGAAGGGGAACGGAGTAGAGGTCTAGTAGTCTGAGATGGCAGAAACTATGACAGTGATATCTTTGGTTGATATGAATTGCTAATTATTTATTTTCCCAGTCATCGCTTTTGTTTTTTTGGTGAGCTCCTGAAATTTGGCTTGTGGCATTCCACTATAATGAACTATTGCATCTAGTTCAGAGTTTCCATTTCAATGGCATTGATTAGGGACAAAAACTGATTTCCAGAGGGAATATTCAAAAAATGTAGCAATTGTAAGGTACAGACCTACTGAACATTTAGCTACTGGTGCCTGCAGATGTCCTGGGGCTTGGAGGGAAGGGCAGAGGTCCAAGTGAAGGTACTGAGGCAGCCCTATCTGTAGAGTGACGTGTAGGGAAATCTGGGTATTTTTGTCACTATATACAATTATTACTTATAGCTTTGTATATATAGTATTTACATTATTAAATACTATTACTTCATATACACCATTGTTATATTTTTATATACTGTATACTAACAGTATACTGTACTGTATACTGTATACTAACATTATTATGTCTTTATATACTGTATACTGTATAAAGTATACTTTATATGCTGTATACTAATATTGGTCAGCTACTGACCAGTTGGTAGGGAAGTATAGTAAAACCCAGCCATATTTCAACAAGCAGGGCTCCAAAATTTCAACTGCCAAAGATGCAAGTTTTCATCATTTCAAGGTTTAGAAAATAGCAGATATGAGCCTGCTGTAGAGGGCAGTTGCAAAGGGCCAGTTACATTACATTCCAATTTGCATTTCATGTCAATATTTCAACAACTGAGGGGCCTTACCAGTGCACTTGCAGGACGTTACCAAGATGAATATTGATCAGTCCTGCTCATTCCCATCTCCTTGCATTTCCATGAGGAAGGACTTTACTAGAGAAACATGTCTGTCCTTTCCGCCTCCCTTTATTCACTTATCTCTAAGGGAAGAGGAATGAAATATTTGATAACTAAATTGGGGAGATACCACTGATCATAATTATTTAAACCTCTTCCTCTCCTTTTCTTTGATATCTGCCTAACATATATATATATGTATATCTTATTTGATTCAAAATTAGATGCTTTAAAGACTTAAGCACAAAAGGATCAACTGAGGAGCAATGCAGAGTCTATACATCTGCCTATAGAGTGTGCCAATATAATTATAGGTTTTTGCAGTAATGGAAACATGTAATAGTGTTACATGACTCAGCTTGATGAAGACAACATTTTTAGCCCTGACTCTAGTGAGAAGATAATCTTCTTACCCCATAGCCACATCCTTGCAGAACAGAGGGAGCAGTGAGAGCCACAAAGAGATGCACAGATATGCAATTACAAAAGGACAAGTTTCCTACATAATAGTCAACCAGGGATGTCTATTTAAAAGAGTGGGTTGGAAGAAAGCAATAGTCAATATCTCTACCTCTTAAAATTCAAACATAATAAATATAGAAGAGATTGAGAATTGTTTGAAATTAGCTCTAACAACCATGATACAAGGACATCCTACAATGTGTTCTCATATGAAATTAGAACTTCAGGGACCACAGTGAAGGTGATCTGCAGAATCTGTCGAGAAAAGAAAGAAGAAAACCAATACGAAGCAACTGCTCTTAAGCACTTTCTACGTGCCAGGCACTGTGCTAAACCCTTAGAAGGATTATTTCACATCATTCTCACAAAACCCATTGAAAGAGGTTTTTTTCTAGTTTCCATTTTACAGATGAAGGGTCTGAGGCACAGAGAAAGTTTCTGTCTTAACCAAGATGACATATTTAGTAAGTGAAAGAGTTAATGTTGAAGTCAAGCAATCTAACTCCACAAACTATATGGTTCTACTTTCATTAGACTTTGATTCACAATGCACTAGAATAGTGTCAAGTCTCTTTTTTCAATGTTTCTTAAAGTTTAGTCCTCAGTGCACCACCATCAGAATTACCCAAGACATTTTTTTTTTTTTTGAGGAAGATCAGCCCTGAGCTAACGTCCATGCCAATCTTCCTCTTTTTTGCTGAGGAAGACCAGCCCTGAGCTAACATCTATTGCCAATCCTCCTCCTTTTTCCCCCCCTTTTCTCCCCAAAGCCCCAGTAGATTGTTTTATGTCATAGTTACACATCCTTCTAGTTGCTGTTTGTGGGACGCCGCCTCAGCATGGCCGGACAAGCAATGTGTCCGTGCGCACCCTGGATCCAAACCCGGGCCGCCAGTAGCGGAGCACGCGCACTTAACCACTAAGCCACGGGGCAGGCCCCAAGACATTTTTTAAAAGAGCAGATTCCTCATCTCTTCCCAAGTCCTAACTTGAAATCTCTGGTTTGTTTTGTTTTTGTTTTTGGTGAGGAAGATTGGCCCTGAGTTAAAATCTGTTTCCGATCCTCCTCTTTTTTACTTGAGAATGATTTTCCCTGAGCTAACATCTGTGCCAGTCTTCCTTGATTTTGTATGTGGGACGCTGCCACAGCCTGGCTTGACGAGCGGTGTGTAGGTCCACACCCAGGACGCAAACCCAGGAACCCTGGGCCACCGAAGTGGAGCCTGTGAACTTAACCACTATGCCACAGGGCTGGCCCCTGAAATCTCTAGTTTTTAACAAATTTCCCATATATTGATCATGCATACTAATGACTGAGAAACATTTAAGTGAATTCTCACTAAAGATTCCAATATATCAAATGAAGCTACTAGATAATTCTAATGCATATTATTAATATTTTGGGGAATGATTATGCTTAAGTATACCAAACAGAATAATGCCATCATGAAATTGAGTTCAGACAACTGTATGTAGTCCTAGTTTGTTTTTACAAGCCCCACATGTGTGCATGTACATACACAAAAAGTTCTTTTAAAGTCTTTTAAATCATTTTGCCATTAATTATCCAAAGGGACATAATCTGAGAGTAAAAATATGTCCTACTCCTACTAACAGATTTCTCCTTTTTCTCTTTGATCCTACAAGGAAAGAAACAATTACACATAGATTTTAATTGGTTGTCTTTTTACTCAAAGGCCATATGTGAAAGTCACCTATATTTTGGAAATGAAATCCTGGATTATGCCAAATATTTTATTACAAGTGCTGAGGTAAGGATAGGTTGGAAGCTCTACTTGGAAAAGAGCTAATGGAACAGGAGATACTTTGAAATTTAATGCTTATTAGGCATTTCTAGTACCTGACTCTCTCTCTTTTGTTTCTTTTCTTGCAGCTTCTATTTTTGCTTTTAAAAGTTCTATCACCCAGATCAGCCTTAGTACAAGAAAAGAGGTGAAATGCCTTGAGAGGGGAAATCAAAACAAGCATCAGCTAGTAGAAAGTCAAGAGAAAGAAGAAGAAAGGAAAAAATTCCTCACCACTATGGGTGGCTACCAGCCACATTTTAGTGCCCATTCATATGCAAAGGAATTAAATGTAGACAAAAACTCAGGAAACTCCTCTAGTTACTTTTCCAGCTCTTTCAGGGATCAGCATGGTGGTACCTAATCTATCTTTTAAAGAATATCTGGGATCCACTAACATGTTCAATCAATGAGACTTATTTAAATTAAATAATATAAATAGGTGCATGGAATCAGACACCGGAAGTTGGTGAATGAATGGTACAAAGTTTGAGAGTAGACAGTCCCTGCTTTGCTGAGTGGTGTGTGGTGGTAAAAATGACATGCAAGCCAAATCTGTGCAAAACAACCCCAATAATCAATGAGGAAAGTTACTATTATTCTGTGACTTTTAAATATTTTTATCAAAACATTAAACTTTCTTACTGCTGGCTGTAAATGTATGGGGAAATAAAAATATAGTAAATCTAATATGTATTTCATACAATGTAAAAAAAAAAACTTTGAGAATTAAAGCGTTGTGTCTGTAAAAAATTATCAAGAATACTTTGAACAGTGCTCGCTTCTTCTCCTGGTATAACACGATAGAGAGTGAACATCTTTTCTATGGCTTGGAAGATTGTCTTACTCCATTCTAAGTTTGGAACAGCTACTAAAATTTTGGGGGAACTTTGCACATTCAGTGTCCTGAAATATCTCTCAGAGTTGCTGTAATGTGAAAGTTTTTGATGTTGCCACTTCCTCTGAAAGTCTTTTCCTTTTCATCACAATCACATTCTTCTTTTATATCCCTAAATTCACCTCCACTAAGTTCCCCGGGCTGCTTTTCTAGAGTCTCTTGAACTGTGATAGTGTCCACATTCCCACAGTTAGATATTTCTTCTATCACTCCATTTACTTTGCTTTTGAATTTCACTTTCAACATTATCACTTTTTCTTTCTTTGCTGCACTTTCATCTTTACTGGTCAATTCCCTCTTTGAATTACTCATTTTGTAAAATGTGTTTTGAATTTATCACTGGGAAAAAGGAGGTAACACAACTACATCATTTTCTGTGAAATGAATAACAGATACACAGTGGCCAGTCATTGATAGACTTTGAAAGAAGCGATATGATTGATCACTAATCATGATGTGCATCTATTATTTACATAGTGATTTATGGACTGAAGAGCTAGATTTGAATTGTACTTTATGTAATTACTCAGAGCTATTACAACATAGTAAATGAAATTTGAGCCATGTTGTTGGGGGATTGGTGTTATTTAATTAAACCATGGTAATTTAAATTTGTGCACACAGAACTATGCAAAAACAGGACTGTCTGTACCGTGCATATTCCTTGAGAATGGAAATTCATGAATAAATAACTCATTTGGAAATATTTAAATATAAATATTTAAAAATATATAGTAGAGAATAAAAATGACAATGTTAAAGGGCAATACTTTTTCCTCTTTATTCTCTTTCTCCCCCACCCTTACCTCTAACCCTCTAACAGGTTGGGGTGAAGGTCTTTGATAAATAAGATAAAGCAGAGTGGACTTTTTTAGCATAATAACGTGTCAAATTTAAGCCATATGATAAAGGTTTATTGTCCTCTTACACACTGCACTTTTTTTTTTTTTTTTTTTTGGTGAGGAAAATTGTCCCTGAGCTAACAACTGTGCCAATCTTCCTCTATTTTGGATGTGGGGCGTTCCCACAGCATGGCTTGATGAGTGGTGTGTATGTCCACGCCAGGGATCTGAACCTGTGAACCCCAGGACCCCGAAGCGGAGCGTGCAAACATAACCACTACGCCACCAGGCTGGCCCCTACACTCCACTTTTTAAAAAAATGTTAAAGCTACCTCCTGATATTGGAATTTCCAGCAACCTTGAAAAACACATTTAGCATACATTCTCAAAGGAGGTGATATCGCCCACAAGGGAGTAAAACTTGGTTTTGGAGGGAAGAAAAATATTTTATGTATTATGATATATGTGGCCCTTCAAAGCTCAACCTTACATGACAAAATCATATGCCTTAGTACTTAGTTACATTCATTAATGAGAATTTAACTTAAGTTATTCTCTTAGGGAGGCAAAAATGAAAAAGTTGAGAAACATTAAACTATAGTCCAGTTTAGATGCTGGGGGGTCTGGCAGGCTTTGTAGGGATGGAGCTGGAGGAAGGGTGAAAGTGAATTTTCCTTGGACATCTATTGAGCTCCACTCCATGTAAACTCGATGGCGTTAGTACTATTTTTTGAACCCTGGGGGTTCCTGTGATTAATTAATAGAAAGACTGTTGGTTTTTCTGATAATGAACTGTACCTGTAAGCTTATCAGACATGTGGGAATTAATTAAATCATTAAATCAAATCAAATATTTAAATTCCTATTCTGTATAAACCTTTACTTTGTGGATGATACACAGACAAAATCCCGATATTTAAGAACCATAGACTCACTCTGAGAAAACAGACACTCATATATAAAGAATCAAACAGTTTATGAAGACAAATATATCCCAGTGCTTGCAAGATCAATTAGTGAATAAGTTGTTGGTTCATAAGGGCTCTGAGTTCAGAGGAATAAAAAGTTTTTAAATTGATCTTGAAAAGACTTGACCCGGGCTTTCAAAGATGTATAGTATATGGATAAGAATTAAAAAATGGCACAGAAAAAAATTAAAGCAAGTTGATTTTTAAAGAATACTTCTTTAAAAAAATAACCTTGAATATTTTTTCAAAACAACTATTTTAATGGGGTGCAGGCTATTAAATGATATTTTTGTAGATGTTCAAAATTATAGTTCTTGTACAAATGTAAAATAAATGTGTGTCAAGGTTTTATTTAACTCATTAATTAATAAGGGAACCAGAAAAATGTTATCACTGGTCCGAAGGAGAATCCACAGAGCAGACACATTTACAGGCCATTAGAAATCCTGAAATGAATTTGCTCAATAAATGCAAACTGGCTTTTTCTTCATTGGAGAACGGAAGTCAGTTGAACCTCCACCAGAGAGATTTTGCATTTCTATAGACAAAAATTATTTGCATAGCTATTCATTTTTCTACAAATTAATTTCTCTCTCTCCAGGGTTGCAACATAACCTAGTCAAAGCAATGAAAGGCAAAGATAACCTGGGAGGTTGACTAGAAATAGTTCCTAAGGTTTCTTTACAGGCAATTGGAAAGTTGCCTTTTAAATTTATAAAGCTTAATCTAAATACTAAGTGACTTGCAGTTTACAAACTGATTTTTAAAACTTTTTAAATTAGATGCTGAAATGTATTTTAGAATAAATGCTCCTAGATGTGCCCTGTGAGAGGCAAGTCCTACCAAATCCTAGAGAGCAGTTCTAGCTACTTATTGGATGAACTGGATATGGAATCTCAGACGCTAAGACACAAGAGCAATTGAACGACAATCAATAACTCCAGAAAGTTTATTTACAGCTTTTAAAGTGTAAAAGAATTCCAATAAGCTGAACTTATTCTGCTTCGCTGACAGTATGTGGCTGTACAAGGCTACCATGTGTTTTTCTTTAAACAAAACTATTTGGGGAATGACACAGAAGCACTGGCAACAAAAACAAAAAATAGATAATTTAACTTCATCAACATTTAAAACATTTGTTCTTCAAACTATGCTATCAAGAAGGTGAAAAAGCAAACCACAGAATGGGAGAAAATATGTGCAAATCATATAGCTGATAAGAGATTAATATCTAGAATATATAAAGAACTCCTACAACTTAAGAAGAAGAACAACAAAAAACAAGCTGATTAAAAAAATGGCAAAGGACCTGAATAGACATTTCTCCAAAGAAGATATACAAATGGTCAATAAACACGTGAAAATATGCTCAACATGACTAATCATTAGGGATGTGAAAATCAACCACTATGAAATACTACTTCACACACATTAGGATGGCTATTATCAAAAAAATCGAAAATTAGAAGTGCTGTGAAGATGCGGAGACATTGGAAGACATTTGATGACAGCTCATCAAAAAGTTAAACCTAGAATTACCATACTATGCAGCAATTCTACTTCTAGGTATGTACCCCAAAGAATTGAAATTAGGGACTCAGACAAACACTTGCACACCAGTGTTCACGGCAGCATTATTTATGATAGCCAAAGGCTGAAAACAACCTAAATGTCTATCAACAGATGAACAGATAAATAAAATGTGGTATATACATACAATGGAATATTATTCAGCCTTAAAAAAGAATGAAATTCTGATAAATGGCTATAACACCTATGAAGCTTGAAGACATTATGCTAAGTGAAATAAGGCAGACAAAAAAGGACCAATATTGTATGAGTCCACGTATATGAGGTACCTAGAATAGGGAAATTCATAGAGACAGAAATAATAATAGCAGTTACTACCATTGGGAGAAAGAGGAGTGGGGAGTGATTGTTTAACGGGCACAGAGATTCTATTTGGGATGTTGAAAAAGTTGTGGAAAAGGATAGTGGTGATGGCTGGACAACATTGTGAATGTACTAAATGCCACTGAATTGTACGTTTAAAATAGTCAGAATAGTAAATTTTATGTTAAGTATATTTTACTATAATTTAAAAAAAAAAACAAAACCCTAACAGCCTGATGAATATTCTTTCATTTGAACATAACCTTCTTGAATATTGACACCCTATTAACTAGAAATATTTTCTCAAGAGAGGGTATAATGACCATTCTAAAATGCAAAAAAAAAAAAAAAAAAGGCCATTTCTTTCCCTGTCACTTAGTTAGACAGGGTTACAGAAGATTTTAGAGTTTTCATTTGCAGGATTCTACTTATCTTTTGTAAGTACTGCCCTCGGGTTTTGGAATCAAATCAAATGGACTTTCATATTCAGTGCTGCAAATTTATATTTGGGGCCCTCAGACAACGGCAAGCTGATGCATTCTGTTAACAGTGAGACTAAGATTTCTCCAGAAAGTTAGAAGAAGTCTTTCTTTATGGACCCTACTTGCCACCTTAGTGGTATCTGCAAATCATGTTCACTACTTAGAGTTTATATTCTCCTAAATGAGTTTGAGCATGGAAGGGGAGGAGTAGAAAGTCTGGTCACTATGAACAACAGTGTCATGCATTAGTTTTATTACACAAAAATAAAATGGAAAAAATAAAAGGAAAGAAGGTGGTTTCTGTACTTTAATTAGACTCTGCTTTGTAATAATAGAAAAGGTTGAAATGCATCTTTTTAAATGGTGATACCTAGCATTTCATAAGTACTTTCTAATAGCCTTGGCATTTTGGTTTGAAACTATTTTCCACTTTTGGTTGTTGTATGCTACGACCCAAAGACTTATATCATTTTATTAAACCTGGACATTTGTTTTTTAGAACAAAGGCCTTTTTGCAACCAAAAACAAATGCACAAAGAAACAAGAACAGCAAATAGTTATTTTTTTGAAAGTTTTAAAAAACGTGTCTTTTAATAAATCAAGAATAAGATAATTTGAGGTGAGGAGGCGGTTGGTGAAGAAACTGATGTCAGAAGATAGAAACTAGAGCTATTAATACTTTACTGATAAATGTTAATTTTAGCAAATAAAGTTCAACTGGAATCAGACAACCAGATCAGAGCCAGTCCGGAATTAGAGGCATACTGTTTTAATAGAGAAACTCCTCCTTCTTCTAAAATAATCTGAATCCTTTCATTTATAGGAAGCTTAATGTCATGCATTTCAAGAGCCTTAAATTTCTTAGCTATTACCTCTGAGTATTAATTGAAGATTACTACAAGACAGCCCCACCCCCAAATAAGGAAGAAGCAATGGTAATGCATGATTTTTTTTTTCTTTTTGTAAATTAACTTCTTAAAATTTTTGAGGTTACAGAACTGTCATTTTTAACATAATACCTGGAAAAATACTAGAACAAACCATCGACAACTTTGACAAGACCTTGATGATCACAGGTACCAAATAATAATCAATATTGTTGTGTGCAGCACAAATCTCACAAAACCAGTATAATTTTATCTTAAGGCAAGATACTGGACCTGTTAAAGAAAGTAAAAAAAAACCTCGAGTTAGCAGGGATTTTGATTTGGGCTTGGATGACAAAGCCAATTTAGAAAAAATGGTCTAGATTAGGCCCACTGCAGAAAAATATTCTATGGACCCACCACATGACTTCCTGTTCACCCACCTACTTTGATCCATCCAAAATCTGTCTTCCTCCAACCCATAGTCACCCCTTAATACATGTTTTTGTGAAGAAGCTCACAGTTTGATATTTTGGAAGTATGTGAAAAAGATACAATGTGCTGAATTTGTTATAGGTCCTGAAGCTTGGCATACAGATGGCACGAAAATTCCTTTATTTTTTATTGTTTGTAGAGCTTAATGTGCATACCCTTAGTAGTTATTCATACATAACAGAAATGTGACTGGTAAATTTTTAGGCTATTGAGGCTATACAATGGATCCATTCTCTAGCTAACTTTAATCTTTTGCAAATCCATAAATTCAGGTTCAGCGAAGAGATTATTATTTATATAATCACGATTCAGCATTTAGTAAGAATGTGGAGATCTTTCCAAAATGCAAATCTGATCCTTCTGAAAATCTTTCAGTGGCTCCCCATTGACTCCATGACAAAAATATAAATTCTTTAGCACGGCACACAAGGGTTTTATCATTGGGACCCAACCTTCTTCTCTAGAATCAACTCTCTAATCGATAGGTGAAAATAATCTAGTTATATTGATTTATTTTTAACTTTTCTGAAATGCTGTACACTATCTCACAAACAGCTCCTTATACCTTGAATATCTTTTCCCAACTTCTATATTTGGTTTCACATTTCAATTTAATTCTTTCCTGTCTCTTCTAGGCTGAATATAGCCCTTTCCCTGATTTCTATTACACCCTAAGCTTGATTCTGTCATGGTGTTGGTCGCATTGAATTAGGATCATGTATCTGCATCTCTATTTTCCTCATTAGTTAGTTAACACTTTCAGACCTGGAAATGTAACTTTTACCTCTTTTTCCACAACACTCAGCATAATGTTTAAAGTAGGCACTAAATGAAAGATGAATTATTGAATGCTTTTGCATTTACACCTCATAACAACCCTGCAGAGTTGATAGTTTTATCTTTATTTTACATTTGAGGGAAAAGATTCAAAAAGAACTAGTAAGTACTCTCTTTTTGTTACCTATGGTGACATAGCCAATGAGTGGCAAAATCAGAACTCACACAAGCCCTCTGACATCAAATAATGCCACCACCCAAATAATATCTTCAAATATGTGCCCAAGAAAAATAGATTTCTGTAAATTTCTCATTGCCAAGTTTTTGTGATTCAAAGAGCATTGGCTATTGAAAGAAAATCAATAATATTATTTGTGTTTGGTGAGTAAAAACTATTATTTGAAAAAATATGGTTTATCTCTTATGAATATCACCAAACATCAACCATAACTCAGGCAGAGGCTTTACAATTACATATTAATTACTCTTCTCTGCACTAATATACAGGTATCTCAAAAAACTCTATTTTAAATATTGGCTTCCATTTGACCTCGTTCAAGGAAAATAACAAGAAAAAAACTTGTTTTTCTCCTTGGGATATTATTGAGCCTTTTGACTAAGAAAGAGAGGGTGCAGTTTAGCCTGTGATGGGAGAGGTTGAGAGCTATATTACTTTTCATAAAAAAGTAAGAGGAATTTTTGGTTTTTACCTAGTGGCTCAGAAGAATGATATTAGTTGGCAGTGGGGGGATGGATTGGAGAGACAAACTTAAGAATGAAAGAAGATGGAAAAAATTTTCTTTAGAGAGAGTGAAGGGTATTCCAGTGACATGTCATAAGGACAAGGCCTAGGAGATTACCACCGAAGGAGAGGATTATATGGGAAGAACATGAATAGATTGAAGTAAGCATGAGATAAAATATTAAATTTTAAAGTGCTATTATATATATATTTCTGAAGAAGTTAAATTTTATAATTTCACTTTATTATACCTGAAACATCAGTAAACTATTTGTTACACTACACAGCATTTGTTAGTAAACCTTTGGTATTGAAAAATTAGTTTTTGTGCTTTGTAATTTTTTAATGTTTTGGGCAAAAGTCAACCAGAGAAAATAGCAGACAAGATCATGGGAAGCTAAAAACAGAAGATAGAAATTGAGCTCTGAGAGCAGTAAATTTGAAGAGATTACAGGTAGACACAGGAGAATCAAAGCAACAATCCTGAACCTCACTCCACATTGCAGCCCACATCCAGAGATCTGTAGAAATACTGAGAACATTACTAGACCTATTGAAATTTTGTTGGAGTGGAGTTTGAGTGATTTTCTTTCATATTAAGGAACAGTTTTTAAGTAGGATGATGTTATTTATAGCCGAAAAATATTCTCACTGAGAAAACTTAGAAAAGCTTGATAAAATACAAAAAAATTATCTGTTTTAAATCTATCTATCTAGAGTCGTATTTAAAGACTAGTTGATAACCTTTAACTCTTTTTCCTTGGAGGGGTTTGCCAATTGTGAGAATTAAGAATCTGAGCTTAGACAGATGTGCTGCTAGAACAGAGAAACCAGCTGAGATTTTTGGCAGTTGTATGAAACTGGAGTGACAAAATAGGAGATTTGAGTAGACTCAGTGAACAGCTAGCTGGTTTCTCCTGGCAGACATTTGCCCAATTCTGAAACTCCGCAAGGTGGTAGGATAATCAAATAAGCTGAAGACTTCCGAAAAGCAGAAGAGAATTGCTTGCAGTCTAACGGTGCTCAGAAGACAAAAAATCTTCCAGGGAACAGGGAACCTACGGAAAACATCAGTTGAAAGCTGAAGGACATCATCCAAGAACAGGGGAAATCTAGGAGCACACTTAGCTTTAGCAAAGTTGTAGCCTGGGCTCAGCAACTCAGTCTCTAGATTAAGATGCAACCAAGCCGTCAATTTATCTGCGTAGCAGAAGAGAGGGTGAACCCACTCTGATGGAAAATAACATCACGTAGAATCTCTAGAGTCTGTATACACTATCCTGGCATTCAATCAAAATTATTAGGCATACCGAGAGAAAAAATAGATAATAGAAACAGATGCATATGACTAAGATAGTAGAAATAGCAGATAGGGACTTTAAAATAACTTTTATAAATATATTAAACAAAATAGAGAAAAAAGATGAGAAAATGAATTGAAAGATACAGAATTTCAACAATAAAATGGAACTTGTAAAAAAAATCAAATGGACGTTCTCAAATTTGAAAATTACAGTGTCCAAAATTATGATCTTATTAAATGAGATTAACAGCAGACTGGAAACAGCAGAAATCATGTTAGTAAATTCAAAGTGAGTTCAATAGGAAATATACTTTCTGGGGTAAAAAAACAAAAATAAAAAGA